AACAATAATTATTATTGTAACCATAGTTATTATTGTAACTATCATCGTCAATATAATTATTATTGTAGCTGTTATTGTCAATGTAGTTACTATAATAATTATTATTTACGGGCTTTCTTGACGTAAAGTTATTGTAATTGCTGTTACCACTACTGTTGTTGTTATAAATATTAAAAGAGGAAGGGAGATAATGTTCTGGCGGTGGTGAAGAAGAGGGAGAAGGCATCATTGGACAATTATAATCTAAATATAAGTATTATTTGTAAATGCTAAAAATAATAAATAAGAAAAATATGAATAGTAATTATTATTATTAGAGAAGATAAATACTGATTTTGTCAATAAATCCAAACATCTCTAATCTTATTTGTTCTTGATGAGCCCATACAAAGAACTTGCAAAACGGATTCCTTGGAGTTTTAGTATTAAATTTACATACAAGATACTCCCAACCTTTATGTTTATCACTTTTTGTTACGCGTCTATCTGGTTTATTACCACAGTAGCAAACAACATAATCTGTTATATTCTCTGATATTTTAACATTTGGTTTTTTTTCGGGCTTTACTGCCTTATTGTTCAAGTCATTTGTGAAATTATTGTAGTTATAAGCGTTCTGCATCATATATTCAAATATTTGTCTATTTTTTTTTAGAATTCCTTCTAATTATTTTATATGCCAAGCAAGGATTTATTTTATAGTTAAAAGAATGATCCGCAAATCGATTGATCTACAATGGAATTAGTGTTAGTTAACATCTAATCAAACATTTTGGGAGCATTCTCAAAAGTTCTAGAGAGTTCGCTTAGTTGCTCCACGGCATATTCAAGGGTCATCTCATCAATCGAGTACCGCTTCAAATAAACATGAATGATAAAAAAATTTACTTTTAAACATTTTTAACATATACCTCATTCATATCCCCTTAGTTATATCCCATCTTTAGCACGTTCTGGAATAAATTTCCCTATTGTAAAACAATATAAATTTACCTTGCTAATATCCCAATTTTCCAGTATATTTTCACTTTATATCTCCAATTTTAACCTTATTTGTATAATTTTTCCGTGACGTGTCCTAAGCCACGAAAAAAAAGCCATGTTAAATTAAAAGGCTGTGGTAATATATTGAATTAATGGCTATGTAAAATTAATGGCTCACTCTCTATAATGGATCATTAAAAACATTAATAGAAGATACCAATGAAGAGGAAGAAGATCCAACAATCTCGTGCCAAGAATGGGAAAAAAGCAATTGAGATTGTAAAGAAAAGTGATTTCGCCGCTAG